CAAAGAAACACAAGATCAAAGGTGTTTACGGTCCAACATGTTCTTGGACCGTAAACCCTAATGAAAGGGCCATTGTGTGCCCTAGTCCCTTACCAAGCCTTGGTTACTAGTCTAGATTTATATCCTTGAAGTGTATAGGACCTTAAACTTCGAAAACATCAAGGACCATTAGAGTTTACGGCCGTAAACTCATGGAGAAATGGTCCATGGGCCATAAACTCTACAAAGGGGTGGAATGTTGCCCCAATCACTTCCTAAGGCTTAGACTTGAAGTTAGGATATTTGCTGATGACCTTTAAGACTTCAAAACACAAAATGGTAGAAGTACCATGAGTTTACGGCCGTAAACTCATGGGTTTACGACCGTAAACTCCAAGGGAGTTGGTCCCAAAACCGTAAACTCATAAAGAGTTTACCCTTGGACCCTAAACTCAAAGGCAAGGCCCTACAACCCTTAGATGCAATCCTTAGTACTTATAACCCTTGAATCAAGGTGTTTTTCATGTCCTAGGGTGTCTATACTTGAGTAATTAGTTGTTAAATGACTAATTGGATACATATATGTGTTATTATATGTTAACTAGGATCATTATGTGTGTTCAAGTCTTCACTTGACACTTAGCATCCTATACCATCCATTCATCCAAACCACTCACTACAGGTGAGTTCATACCCCTAAATCAACCATTTAAATGATTTTAAATGCTTTTATGGGGGGGGGGGGAATACAAGTTGAACTATTATAGTTATTATATCAATCACATGTGATTAATAACTACCAAACAAGTAGATTTCTTACTTTTCAAAGTGTGTTATCAAACAAACTACTTCAAACTGTTTTACAAACTCTTTTACATGTCAAATACTTTTACTAAACTCTTTTAAACTTATATTCTGTTAAATGTGTATCTATATAGATCTAGTTATATAAGTAGGTTTGAAAGGACTTAGGACTGATAGCTCACCTTACCTCCTGTTCCTTGTTTGGTCGTGGACTTAGGGTATCAGTTATTTGTCCGAAGGTCGTTTGAATCCTAGTCATATATTATGTATATGTATATAGATATAAAAGTTCCTTCATTCTATTCAATACCCTTGGGTAGCAAAGGTATACAAACATGTTCATGCATTCAAACACCATTACTAGTAAACTATGATAGGCGTAGTTTAGGAAGTCACTAATACTATTACTAGAACAGTAAAACATACAATGAGTCAGTTCATATATGAGTCAATACCATACAGAGAGAATATAACATACAGATAGAGAATATTATGATGAGAAACAAACAATACCATACAGAGAGAACATAACATACAGATAGAGAATACTATGATGAGAAACAAACAATACCATACAGAGAGAACATACATACATACTAGACAGAGAAAGAACATACAATACAGCTAGTACATACAATACATACACAAGTGCACAAATACAGTTATGTGAGCCACGTAACGGGGAATGGCATCACCTGTCATGGCTCGTTTTGTATCCAGAATCTCCTTAAATGGAGAGAGTTGAGTTTGTGTATAGATCTATACTGGATTGACTATCCTACACCTTGCTGCTCGCTATAGTGGGACTTGCAAGTCTACGGGTGCCAAACGTCATTTCTTCCGACATTTGGAGCTTTACGTATGAAATGGACATTAGGGGGCCATATCTATGGTTTTGAGGTGTTAAGACCCATTAAAATCGACTGGATAGCAATGGTCATGGATGGACTCGACGAGTCGTTCTTGGGACTCGGCGAGTCGGTGTGTTTTAACCACCAAATCCTTTCTGTGGATGGACCAGTTGTTAGGGAAGGAAGTCCCTTAGTTGTTTAGACGCAAAAGCGGGCCTGGGAATCATGGGACTCGGCGAGTGGATGAACAGACTCAGTGAGCCCAAGGCAATCTCCCAACCTTTGAATATGGACTCGACGAGTTGTCCATACAACTCGGCGAGTCATAGACTGGATGTGTTCTTAAGAGGGAGATGAACTCGACGAGTTCATGGATGAACTCGGCGAGTCGGATGAAGATAGTCCTGATGGTTTGAATGAAGGAGAACTCGACGAGTTCTCGTAAGACTCGACGAGTGGTGTCGGGGTTGGATCGGGTTAGTGGACCATGGACTCGACAAGTTGGTAGACCAACTCGGCGAGTCAGGTCAACTAGGTGTTGACTTTGACCAATGTTGACTTTGCCTGGTTTTGATATTGACCCTGGTTAGGGTTGTATGTTCTGTTTGATGACTTGAGGGTTGTCGTGTAGGGATCGAGGGTCGTCGTGTTTATAGTCGGTAGTATGGTACAGGCCGATCACATGGTACTTTAAATAACAATTGGTTTAAGGTAGTTAGTACAGCAGTAGTTACTTAATACAACACTACAGTACTATTTCATTTTCCCATTGCATTTACTTTGTGATCTTCACACAATAAACAGTAATGTAAAAACTATATTTTTGGTTAATGATAGTCAGATTTGGGAAAATACATACTCTTACAAGAGACACACACACCAACACTTGATGCCTTGGTATAAGGCTACTTTTAGTAGGAAACATAGGGTTTTCTAGGAGAGTTCAAACAATTACAACTTATACATTACATGCTTACAAACACTTTCATACAAACTCAGACACTAATATACTTATGAACTCACCAGCTTTAAAGCTGATAAACTCTTTCAAAATAACTTGTATTCTCAGGTCGCCAGTAGACAGGTACCGATGCCAGGTTTTGAGAAGATGGAGCTCGTTCAAGACTCATCTTTTATTTTGATTTATATTTTTGGTGTCTATTAAACTTGACAGAACACACTTGTATTAAATTATATTATTAATGCAATGGATGATGTTGTTGCTTGTTTACTACTTTGCATTGTTGTGATACTGTACATGACGTCCTCCACACCTGAACGATTCCGCCATTCCTGTTTTGGGGTGTGACATATGTCGAGGCGAATAGGTATAATATCGCGATGTTGCACAATTCATTGTCTAATCACATTGCCCTTGAATCCTTTGACCATCTTTCAATTTCGTGCTGAAAATAGTTTTAGAATTGGAACTGTATAACCATAGATTGATCACAAAGTTGAGTTTGACCGATTTGGCATTCGTCGACTTGAATGATGTCTCATCGATGTATCAAAAGCTTTTCAATAAGTGTTGAACAAAGCCCTCCATGCATCACAGTTGCAGAGAACGAGAAGGAAAGGGACGTAGGTTCTGATATTAGTGATATTGTAAAGCATGTTCTTGAGTTATTAATATTCAATAATTTGGTTCTAAAAGCCAGAATACCCTTACTCGTTGGACCTATCCAAGAATACCCGGAACCCGGATAGAGCTAAATTTTAAACCCAATACCCGAATCTGGTTCTAATTTTCAATTTCCATTTTCATACCCACTTTACCGGTCCGATACCCGGAACCGAACCGGAACCGGTTCCTATATAACGGTCCGGTTATTGGATCTTATAATTCATCAATTCCGGTTTCCAGGTTTTAAGAGTATGGATCCAATGGTTCGGGTTTGGACCCACTTTTATCCCTAATTCCCATCACTTTAATCATGCCAACTCATCGCCACATCATCCCCACGCTCTCCCTTACTTCAACCCTACCAACTTAGTGCCACATCATTCCTCCCTACTCTCCCTAACTTAGGAAATGGTCAACCCTTCAATTTTCGACATACTTGTTTTAATAAATATGAAGCATTAGGATATTGTAACATACAAGCAAATGCGATACTACTTGGAACAAAAGGGTGTCCATGGTCATCAATTGGAATGTATTCTTTTAGAGATTTCTATTATGTTTTTTTGACGGGCAACCTTAAAGATTACACCATTATCATTACTAATAGACATCATTGTAATATTTGAATCAAACCAAATCGACACACAATTATTAGATAGTCTTTGTTGTAACTTTTAATTAATTAAAATCCATATATAGTTGTGTGGCCTAGGGGTGCAAACGAGTCACGCTACTCGTGAGGTATTCGAGATCGACTCAATAAAAGACCGACTCGAGACTGATTTTAAACGAGCCCGAGCCGAGCTTGAGGTTAATATTAGGCTCGTTTATTAAACAAGCTCGAGTTTGAGCCTAAACAACTAAGCTCGATTAGGCTCGCGAGCCTAAACGAGCCTATATATAATATAACTTATTATTATTTTTATATGTTAAAATAAAAAAAATATTCAAGGAATTAGAAATTTAGGGTATTAGTAAACAAACTTCTTAACAAGCTCGAACCAAGCTTAAGATTATTTCGGCTTATAAAAAAATAAGAGCCAAATTCGATCCCGAGTTAAGCTTGTATAATTTTTCACGAGATCTAGCCGAGCTCCGTACTATAAAGATTAAATTGTGCCTCTTATAACTTAAACGAGCTCGAGCCGAGCTTAGCCAGACTTGGCTCGACTTATTTTTATTTTTAGAAAGGGAACTTTCCAAACGAGGGTTCCGAGCTATCTTTCGTGCACCAACAAATCCCCCGCTGCAAACATGAGGATATGTTTCATGCTCTGGGGTCACTGCAGACGAACCTTAAGACCATAACGGCTGAGTGGTGCCAAGATTTGAACATGAATTAACAGGTTGATAGGTTATTCACTATATGTTCCACATGTCTTATCAAGTTACCATAGGCTCGTCTCACCCTATGGTACGATAAATGTATGCCATCCGGCCTCACAGTGGCAGGTGGTGTAGAGTGGTGTTCCTCGAAATCCTCATAGTGTCACCTCACCGTATGCATGGTACGATAAATGTATTCATCCGGCCTCCGGTTTAATTAGGATACTACTACTTAGCAGGACACGTTTTGCCTATAACTTAAACAATTATTTCCTTTTACTTTGAAAAAGAAACAACAAATAAAGTAATAAAGTGAGGAGACACACTTGCTTTTTGTTCAATTATTGACTTATTGTAGGATAGGAAATAATATATTATTTCCTACAACATTATGTCCATTCTCATTCTTTCCTTTTTCATCTTCATTCATCAATTCAGATCACCACCAACCACCCTCAAAAGCTCCAAATCTGATCAGGTTAGTTTTGGTTTGTGTTCTACTACTGCTATTGATTTTTAATTTTTAGAGCACCTCAACTTTTGAAATCTCAAGCCTTTAATTGCTTACAGCGCTGTAATTTCGGTTTTAGCTAATTTTATGGATTTTATCAAGGCTACTTTACTTCCCTTTTATTAAATGAAATCATATTTGGAAATTCCATTATGATATTCTTATTCTTATAGATATATAAAACCATACTTTTAGAGTTTAGGTTCCAAAACGTTTTCAAAGTTCAATACGACAATGGCTTGTAATCTACAACCTAAAATTCTGAGTAAAATTTGAAGTAATGGAAGCTTTTTTACACTCAAAAATCTAAAGTGAGCTCACTTTGAAGGATAGAACATTGTATGCAGAGAGAATCGAATTATGTTTCTTCATATTCTCAGTCTGAATCCTTAGAATATTCCATTCCATTTTATTCGCTTAATCGGATGCTCTTAATTAATACATCTGCTGTTCCCCTTGAACAAGCATATATACGCAATACTGAAATGGAAGTTCTACTATCTATGTCCCTATATTTTACAATGATTGAATTTGTTTTCATCATTCCTATAACAGAAAAGTCAGGACTATTAAAATATAAACCGCTTATTTGAGACCATGAAATTAACGAAGAGGTGGTGCTTTGCGTGTCTCTATCTCGAACTTAAATAGTGATTGAAACTAATTCTGCTTAACATGTGTTTAATTAAGCTCCCATTTGTTATTTAATTGACAGAGGTTGAAGAGAGTTTGGCTGCATTAATGTCTCTGATGGAAGGTGTACAACACTTAAAAATTCCACTTAAAGACATAAAGTTGGCGACCAATAACTTTGGCGATGATAATTTTATTGCACAAGGTGGATTTGGGAAGGTCTACTTAGGCCAAATCACCCTATCTGGACAGTCTATCACCGTTGCTATAAAGAGGTTGGACCGCAGATTGGGACAAGGGGATCGAGAGTTCTTGATGGAAATTCAGATGCTTTCACGCTATAAACACAAAAACCTCATCTCTCTTATTGGGTTTTGTGATGAAGGTGGAGAAAGTATCCTCGTGTATGAGCATGCAAAACATGGAAGCCTTGACAGATATCTAAGTTACTCTAACCTCTCCTGGATCCAACGTCTCCAAATAAGCCTTGGTGCAGCCCATGGCTTTAATTACCTTCATAATGACGTGGGACTTCAACACAGGGTCCTGCATCGGGACATAAAGAGTTCAAACATTCTCTTAAACGAGAATTGGGAAGCGAAAATCTCAGATTTTGGATTATCGAAAATAGGCCCTTCAAATGTTGAGTTCACTTTTCTTGTCACTAATGCTTGTGGCACCTTCGGCTATGTTGATCCACAATATGTAAGAACCGGTATTCTAACAAAGGAGTCTGACGTGTATTCGTTTGGTGTAGTGCTATTTGAAATCTTATGTGGAAGGTTGGCACTTATTGATAGATATCAAGATGAACGTCGGTTTCTTTCTTCTCTGGCCCAAGTGTGTTGTGAAGACAACAGATTAGATGAGATCATTGATCCCAATCTCATGAATCAAATGAAAGTATGTTCGTTAAAGCTTTTCTCAATGGCTGCATATCAATGCTTGAGAGATAATCGAAGCGAACGCCCAACCATGGGTTGGATTGTTGAAAAACTTGAGAAGGCATTAGAACTTCAAGTAAGTTTCATAAGACTCTTATATAAGCATTTTTAACTCTATTTTCATCCTTGAATTTGAATAATTATATATTTTCTTTGTTGCAAGGCTTCTAGCAAAGGATTTATTCGGGTTGGCACATGGGGACGAAGTGGAAATCCTCCAAATCAATGGTCATTTGAACTTGAGAAAGATCATAAGCTGGTGAAGATAACCATTGATCATGGTAACGTAATATACTCCCTTATGTTCACTAGTGAATTTAGAGGTGTTTTTTACAATTCCGAAAAGTATGGGGGTTGGGCCGGTGGAGAAACAGTTTCCGAGGTAAGTAACTGATCGTTATTCCACCAATCAATACGTATCCTTTTTACTATAATAATCTTTGTGGTGGGTTAATCAGGTCATTTTCGAAGGTGATGAGGAAATAATTGGCATTAATGGAACCATTGGTTCTCGAGATGGTTTTACAATAATTTCGTCCCTATCATTTCAGACGAACAAAAGAACCCACGGACCTTTTGGTCGAGTAACAAAAGTTGTTTTCTCTATACCATGGGACAAAGGCGGTTTAGTTGGGTTTTATGGCGTTGCTGGTTATTACATAGATAGTTTTGGCATATATGTTAAACCTAATGAGGAAATCATAAGGGTTGGAACATGGGGAAAAACTGGAACTGGAAGCCCGCAAAACATCTGGTATCTACAACTAGAGACACATCAACATTTGAAGATGATAACCATTGATCATGGCGATCTTATATACTCTCTCATTTTCACCACGCAATATAGAGGTGTAACACACACTTACGAAAAGGCTGGTGGGTGGAATGGTGGAGAAACGGTTTCTGAGGTAAACATCTCATAACTAAAAAAGGTTGAAATACGTAATCTTAAAAGAATTATTCAAATTGTCCGAGGTGCATCTTTCTCTGGACATGTGTGATATATAGAAAACAACACTTACCGTTATTTTATAATCTACTATAATGAAGATAATTTTTTCACATGTCAATCTCTAATGAGTTTTGACTCTTGTAATTTTGTGATAATTTTTAAATAAATAATATCCACATGTCAATTTATGGTTTTCTAATTTTTAAAATTAAAAAGTTACATAATACTTATAGTTATATATGTAAAGTATGAAATGTAATAAATACTATACTAAATTGCAATTAATATGTTTCTTCATTTCATATTTCAAAATTTTATTTTAAAAAATACTTATTATTTATATTTTAATATTTTATCTTTTTTAATTAACCTGTATAATACACGTGTTTTACACCTAATTGTTATAATATTTTGCAAAACTAGGTTGATCCCCATTCTCTTTGCAAAAATAGGGAAATACTTTTGTAAAAATCGTGTTGTGATCCAACCAGCAGATAACAAAAACTATTGGACATATTTTCTATACGTAATTCTTTTTGGCTAGTTTCAATATAACAAGTTACATATAACATAGAACAACTTATACCATTATTGAATGAATATCATATTTTGTTAGTTTCGAAGTTAACTGTTAATTTAATTTTTTTTTTGTAAGGTTGCTTTAATTTGTTAAGCATTAAACATTACATATAATTAACAAGAAATATTTATTTATTTTTCTATGATATTTATCATACTTTTACTATAAGTAATAACTATTATTTTTTTTTTACAAAATGTAGGTATAATTTCTGATGAAATTTAGGTCTTATCACATAAGATAATTTAATTTTCAAATTTATTTATTTATTTTTATTTATTTATTTATTTATTTTTGTGTGTGTGTGCACAGCAAAGAATTCATTAGAAAATAAACACAAACAAGGTGCTAGAGTTTACAAAGGACTTACTTATTATTGACGAAGCAACTGTCTCGATTTAAAATTTTAGCCTCTTGAAAATTTAAAGATATTTTCTTTTTGATGAAAGGTTTAGTAAGTTAGTTTAGTATAACTGATTGTCCTAATTATTTGTAAGCAGTGGTAAAATTATGAGAAATCAAATATCTTCTTATTTTTTTTTCTTTTTACAATCTTTATACACATTTAAAGATTGTGATGTTTTTCATATTTAGTAAGATTAATAAATTTATTACATTTGTCATCATTTAAAACTAATAGGAGGATGAATAGAAAGAAAAAGTAAGAGAATATTTAATTTCTCTAAAATTATAATTGAACTTTCAATGTCTATAATTTACTATATGAGTTTTGAGGACCATAATTTGTCTCTTTTGGTTACTTAATAAGCAATATGTTCGGAATAGTTTCATATTGTCATGTTTCTAACAAAAACATTATTAATAATAGTATATAAGATAGGTAAAACACTCCAATATATTTTCAGGCATACTAGAAATAAGGAGTTTGTTATTTTTATTTCTTTATTTGATAAAAGGTAAACCAACTCACAAATTCATGTTTAAAAATAAACTCCACATTGATTCAAACCAAACAAATTTTTTTTTTTGACACAAATGGTGGTCATTCCCTAATATTGGGTCCACCTAAACATTTTCCCATCAATGTTAAAAGGTTCTCGTGTATTTTTTTGCAAGCTTTGTAGTGCAGTTATATTTAAGAGAAATCTTTGAAAAAGCCCTTACATTTTCATATTGGAGCAGGTACTTATAGTTTTTTTTCTTGTGGTTAAGCCCAAAAAACTAGCAATTGTTTACACATAAGTCCAAAAAACCGACAATTCTTTACAATTTTGGATTTTTATCCCGATAATACGGTCATTTTTTGGGTTTTACCACTTTAACCGGCTACCAACCAAAACATGAGTGTTTTTTCATAGATGTAATCAAATTTTAAGTTAGCCTAATATAAAATATAGTTTTAGTTATTTCAATACAAAATATTAGATAATAGTTAGTCCAACCCTTTAAACTTTAATCATATTTGTGAAAAAAGCACTCGTATTTGGTTGGTGACCCAAAGATGACCGGTTACCGACGTAAAAACCAAAAAATGACAGGTTTATCAGGGTAAAAAATAAAAAATGTAAATAGTTGTTAAAATTTGGGACATTATTCTCAGTTTTTTGGATTTAATTGCAAGAAAAAAAACATTAAAGACTTAATCCAATATAAGATCAAAATATAAGATCTTTTATGAAGTATCCTTATATTTAACTCATTTAATTTGCATTTCAATAATTTTGAAGATTTAATTGGAATCGTTTCCTATTTGTTCAATTATCGAAAATGTTTACCATCATGCTAATCAGTTTTGATTATTTAAAATATATGTATTATTTAGATACAAAAGGTATTAAATTATTAGCACATAGATTTTTGAATCTTATTTTTAAAATTTTAATAAAGATATATTGAATTTGAATTTATTTTGATGAGAATTTTATATGACTAAACTTTAAACGATATATAGATTATCGTTATGTTTATACACTAATATAAAAAAATAATAAAGGTATAAATAAAAAGACCTAATTATGATACATTAAACATGTTAATGGGTTAACAAATTTTAAAGGGACCATATTGTAATTACTCCATTGTGTGGTGACCTGCATTTATTTCTGCAAAGGAAATAAAATCAACCCCATATTTACAAATGAAATTACAAAGTCTCGGGTCTAGGTTCATCAAAGAAAATTGGTTATGTATATATTGTCGCTCAGGTAATATTTGATTGGAACGAGGAAATAAGTGCAATCAACGGAACAATTTCCTTATCAAGGGGAAATGATCCTGGGCATATAGTAATATCGTCAATATCATTTGTGACGAACAAAAAAACACATGGACCATATGGTAATGTAAGAGGGAAGTCATTCATGGTATCTTTTGATGATGGTTCTTTTGCTGGATTATATGGCCTTGCTGGCTATTATATTGATAGTATCGGTGTCTACTTGAAGACTATACTATGAGATGATGGACAAATATGATTTTGTTATTAGAATTATGTTATGTAGTGTGGTGATTGACTCTTACTGTTTTTTTTGGTTTTTATATTTAAATATGATAATCATGCATCTATCATGTAAATAAATGAAATTAAATTATCATCCAATTATGATTTCAGTGGTCCCAATCAGAAATAACCATTCCGTAGTTCTGTCGCGAAATCCTTAACTCAATTTGTTTGTAAATATGATGGTGACTATGTTGGTGTTGCATAACAGTTTTGTTGAAAAACCAAACTAATAGACACGCAAGCAAACCGACAACTAATATTGAGAATTATGTGTCGATTAGTTGCGAATAATAGATCCAATTATTATTATTATTATATTTACCAAGTTTCGTCCAAAACCAGATCAATTCTTCACGATTAGATCTGATTATAAGAAAGGAAAAGAAGATTGTCATGTTGTTGGACGAAATTAAATGCAAGACAGAAAGTAAAACCGACCTGTTAATGGTTGATCTTGAACTTCAAATAACTGCACGAATCGGACTCTTGTCCTTAAAGTTTTTTACTTCGCTTCTACTGGCTGTAAGCAACAGAGCAAAACCCCAGGATTTAATGCAGATCTATCGATCTTCCAACAACACTGGAAATCGACAAACACAAAGTGAATACTCGAAAACCAGAAGAAAAAACGCAAAGAGTGGGAGGGGGCTTTGATTTTCATGAGTGTTCAATACGGCTCCTAGGGAGTTGTATTTATAGGTATTGAAACCCTAGAAGGCATGAAATAGGCCCCCATAGGCCGGCCCCAGAAACCCTAGGGCGACGGCTTGCTCTCCAAGCAAGCCGTTTCCTGATCCTTCTAGAATATCCCGACTTGTCCTCCACGAAGTCAACGGCGGTCAACCATTTGACCGGATCGGCTGGATCGGTCAAACCGGCTTGACCCGAACTCGTCAAAAATAAAAGCTCCTCAGCTCCCAGCGACCGATGCGTCGTGCAAAGTGCGCCTAAATCGCGCCATTTCGCGCACTCGCGGCGTCGGCTAGTGCTATGCTAGGCTAGGCGCACGCGTGGGCTTGGCCCATTCCTTGATCCACTAAAGCCTTTGAAGGCGTATCAAGGGATTAGGCATATAAGCCCACTAAAAGTTTCTTCCCCCACCAATGTGGGATAGAGGAAACTTGCTAACTTGCAATTTCCACTATAATTTCCAACAATCCCCCACCAAGTTGGAAAGTTTCATTTCACTCAGACAGATGATGTCACTTGGGTGTCACGAAGATTAAACCCTAGTTTAATGGGAATAAACAAGAAGAGACCGATTCAATGGTATCCTTATAGGTTTAAACCATGAACCTTAATGACCTCTCCGGTTTACCCCCACACATCACAAGTCATCTTTGTGTTCTCCCTGAGTGCTAATATGGCCATGCGCTATAAACCCTTTTCATGACCCTTTAGAAGATAAACAACTAATCTTCACTTGAGGCGGCACCACCTCTAGATCATATAGGCAAAGTTTTACAACATCTTCGTTGCTTAGATGTCTCCAAAACTTTGTAAAGAGTTGTAACTCAACCTCTTTCTCGGCAACGACGTACTATCGTACCTCACATGGATCTATCATTAATGATAGTACCTTTTATCGTTAGTGACTTTGTTGTTACCCTTTAAACTTGAGAATTAGGAGCACTAATGTCAAGTTGGTTTTCCATCACTAAGCGATTCTATTGTGGTTTTAGACCCATGACTCTCGTGGTAGATGTAACCAAATCTCTCGTCAGAGGTTTGGTAAAAGGATCTGCCAAGTTTCTACTTGTCTTGACATAGACAACCTTGATGGTACCAGTTTCAATTAGTTGTCTCACAAAATTGTGTCGCAGACCTACATGTCTCGACTTCCCATTATATACCGCATTATATACTTTAGACAGTGTGGCCTCACTGTCACAGTACATGGGTATTGAAGGCATAGGAATATCCCACAAACGGATATCCATAAGTAGATCTCGAATCCACTCTGCCTCTTTGCCCGCTGCTGCTAAGGCAATTAGCTCTGCTTCCATCGTTGAATGAGCTATGCATGTCTGTTTCTTGCTCGCCCAAGAAATAGCACCACCAGCTAGAGTATAAATCCAACCACTTGTTGATTTTGAATCACTAGTGTGATCAATCCAGCTGACATCAGAATAACCTTCAAGTATTCCATTAGATGACGAATACGTCAACTCAAAAGTACTTGTCCTTTTCAGGTATCCTAGTACTCTACCCACTGCCTTCCAGTGCTCCGTCCCTGGATTCACAGTATATTGACTCAGTTTTCTTACAGCGAATGCGATGTCAGGTCGAGTGCAATGAGTAGCATACATCATGCTTCCAACTGCACTAGCATATTCCAGTTGAGCCACTGCTCGACCAGAATTCACCTTTAGTTTCACACTTGAATCAAAAGGAGTGTTGAATTCTTTAATGTTCAAATGTTGAAACTTTGTCGGAACTCTCTCTATATAATGAGATTGACTAAGAGAAATCTGACCACCTGTTCTTTTCACCTTGATACCAAGAATTGTATCAACTTCTCCAAGATCTTTCATCTTAAAGCTAGAGGATAGGTATTTCTTCGTCTCCAGAATACATTCTAGGTGAGTGCCAATGATCAGCATATCATCAACATAAAGACATATAACTACTACGTAATCGGATGTATATTTGGAATAAATACATCTGTCAACACTATTGTGCTGAAAACCAAAGGCAGTCACAGTGGTGTCAAATCTCTCATGCCACTGTTTAGGAGCTTTCTTCAACCCGTACAAGGATTTAACAAGTCTACACACTTTGTTTTCCTGTCCAGGTATCACGAAACCTTCAGGTTGCTCTAAGTAAATCTCCTCCTTGAGATAACCATTTAGAAAGGCTGTCTTCACATCCATTTGATGAATGTACAATCCTTTCAAAGCTGATATTGCTATGAGAGTTCTAATAGAACTAATCCTAGCAACGGGAGCATAGGTATCAAAATAATCGGTACCTTCTTGCTGCCTATATCCCTTAGCAACTAATCTTGCTTTATAGGCATATATGGATCCATCTGGATGATACTTTCTCTTGAATATCCACTTGGATCCTATGGGTTTTCTCCCCTTGGGTAGATTAGCTAACTCCCAAGTTCCATTACCCATGATTGAATCCATTTCGTCATTGATGGCTTCCTTCCACAAAGGCGCATCTCGAGACGTCATGGCTTCAGTAAAGGTCTTAGGATCATCATCCAAATTAATGGCAAATATGACCTCTCTCGTCACTTTCTTTTGTGTTCCTTCGACCAAATAAGAATAGAAATCGTCTCCAAAACTTTTCTCTATTCTAGCCCTGGTACTTCTCCTTGGTTCCTCTACAATAGGAGGAGGTGGGAGTATTTCTCGAGAAGTACTTGTAGGTGTTGTATGACTGGAGTTTTCTTCATCCCTAGAAAACTTGTCCTCAAAGAATTCCATATCTCTGGATTCCACAACAACGCCTGATTCAATATCTAATAACCGGTAAGCCTTGCTATTGTGAGCATATCCAATGAATATACTCTTATTTGCTCGTGCTAGCAATTTGGTTCGCTTAGGATCGGGAGTCCGATAATAAGCAATACACCCCCACACTTTCAAATAGTCTAGGTTAGGCTTTCTACCTTTCCATAACTCATAAGGGCTTGTAGGAATCATACGACTAGTGATCCTATTATGAACATAGCAAGCAGTCAATAGTGCTTCCCCCCACAGATTGTTTGGTTGACCAGATTGGTTCAACATACAGTTGACCATCTCACAAAGGGTTCGGTTCTTTCTTTCAGCCAAACCATTCTGTTGGGGAGTGTATGGTGAAGTTCTCTCATGTTTGATTCCATTCTCTTCACAGAATGTGTCAAACTCTTGGTTGAAATATTCCCCGCCTCTATCCGAGCGAAGAATTTTGATATGTCTTTCAAGTTGATTTCGACCTCAGCCTTATATCGTTTAAATGCATCAAAAGCTTCATCTTTTGATCTCAGCAAATAAACATGTAGATATCGACTGAAGTCATCACAGAATGTGATGAAATACCTTTTTCCTCCTCGATTAAGGATTCCATTTAATTCACATATATCAGAAAGAATCAACTCAAGCAATGATGTATTTCTCTTAACTGATGGAAATGGTTTCTTAGTGAACTTTGATTTCACACATTTTTCAAAATCTTTTGTGTCATACTTTAACATTCCTTTAGTTTGCATTTTTTCAATATTTTTAACATTAGTGTGAGCTAAACGTTTATGCCATAAAGAAATTGAACAAACAAAATAACCAGAAAAGTTCACTTCATTCACATTAGCAACCAATCCACCAACTACATCATTACCAACACTTGACACACTAGTAACACTAGAACTACCACTCTCAACACTAGAACCACTCATACTACCCTCATCACTAAGGCACAAACGATACATCCCTGAACAATTGTTCGCCCTCCCAACATATCTTCTGCCTTTAGTGATCACAATTTTGCCTCTCTCAAGCACCATCTTGAACCCTCCCTTTTCAAACTTGTCCGCAGAAACCAACACTTTCGAGATAGTGGGAACATGTAGAACATCTCGAAGGGTTACCCATTCACCACGTGTAAACTTCAACCGAACATCACCTCTTCCTTGAACTTCAGCTCTGTATCCATCAGCACAGACGACGACCGTCCCATGTGGCATTGGGCGGTAAGTGCGGAAGCTCTCTTGTTACCCACAAACATGCACAGTAGCTCCAGTGTCCATGAACCATCATCGAGCACTGATTTCTCGGGTAAGGAAGGAGATCATAAAAATCTCTCCAAGGTTCACACTTGCCACCATGCCAGTCACCTGCTCGACTGCATGTGCTACCAGTCCTGATTTGCGATCCTTGCATTCTCTCGCATAGTTCCCAATCTCTCTGCAGACGTGGCAAGGTCCGGCCCTCTTCGGCTTTGAGTTAGGATTCTGATGTCCCGATTTCTTGAAGCTTTGTTTCTTGGGTCCGAAGTTCTTCTTGTTCTGTCCCCCAGACTTGCCTTTGTGACTAGAACCCCCAGCTGACACGTGATGCACACTCGATC